CAAGTCGGCCTTGAACTCACAGAGAGTCACCTGCCTCTGCCTCCCAAGTACGAGGCCAGCTCTAGTCTACAGAGCAAGTCCCAGGATAGCCAGGGTTACATAGTAAGATCCTGTCTCAAAAAGCCAAAGCCAACCAAATAAGTAAACAGAAACAACACAACCATACCAGTGGCCTGTTGTAATGATGTGCACCTGTAATCCTAGCACTCAGGAGGCTGAGACAGGAAAATAACCAGTTTGAGAAATAGCCAGAGATACATGAGAGACCCTGTCTCAACCCCCCTTACCCCAGACAAAGTTTACCAACTAACTTGGAGACAACCTACGTGCCTATCAACACATCCTGGACAAACAAATTGTCCGAGACTACATTGGGGAATGAAGCATAGGAGAGTCTCAGATTCACAGCCAGCCAAGTTCACTTAGTGAAACTGTTTCAGAGTTAGAAGAAATGGGGAGGGGGAGATGCAGAGACAGTGGCTTGCACCAAGCCTGGTGACCTAAGTTCAATCCCCAGGACCACATAGTGGAAGGTGAAATTGACTCCTGTCCCTTGACCTTCAAATGTGCCCACACAACATACACACAATAAATAGGTTTTGTTTTGGGTTTTTTAGTGATTACAAAAAAGACACAAGAGGGCTGGAAGATGGCTCAGTAGTTAAGAGCATGGACTGCTCTTTCAGAGGACATGGGTTCAGTTCCCAGCACCCACAGGCAACTGACAAGTATCAGTAAGATTCAGTCCTAGGGGACCTGGTGCCCTCCTCTGGCCTTCTTGGGCACCAGGCTCCCACAAGGTGCACAGACATACATGCAGACAAAACATCCATGCACATAAAATAGTTAAATGAATGTTAGGAGAAAAATAGAGAGAGAAAGGGAGAGAGGGAAGGAGGGAGGGAGGGAGAGAGGGAGAGAGAGAGAGAGAGAGAGAGAGAGAGAGAGAGAGAGAGACAGAGAGAAACAGTGTGGTGATACACCACCTATAATCCCAGCACAGGCAGAGGCAGGAGACTCCCTGCAAGATGGAAGCTAGTCTAGGTTACAAACTGTTTCAAAATAAATTTAAAACTTATGGATATTGTGTGGTCATCACAGAACAAAGGTGTGTGGATATAAAACGGCATTTCAAGTCTGACCAATCTGCCTTGTCTTTTCAGCACTGGGAGGCTGAGCTGTGTGCCTGCCAGACTTTTGCCTTTTGTTTGTTTATTTGTTTTGTTTTTTGAGGGTGTTTCTCTGTAACTTTGGAGCCTGTCCTGGAACTCGGTCTGTAGACCAGGCTGGCCTCGAACTCACAGAAATCCACCTGTCTCTGCTTCCCAAGTGCTGGGATTAAAGGCATGCGCCACCACCGCCCACCAGACTTTTGCCTTTTATCATTCCATTAAAATGTTATAACCAGCCAGGCAGTGGTGGCTCAGGCCTTTAAATCCCAGCACTCGGGAGAGAGGCAGAGACAGGTGGATCTCTGTGAGTTCAAGGCCAGCCTGGTCAACAGAGCGAGTTTCAAGATGGACAGGCTCCAAAGTTACAGAGAAACCCTGTCTCGAAAAACAAAACAAAAGGTTATAACCATCTTTTTTATGTCATTCAGACATCTGTACTGGCCTGCCCTTGGGGTCCTGACAGAATACATCCTCAACTGCAACCACTAAGAGCACCTCCTTTGCATGTTCACTATGTTCCCTTTCAAAAGGTGGACCTTGGCCACCGCCATCTCCTCCCCCTCCCTTCCTCTTTCTCTCTTGTCACTCTTGTCTCCAGGGACTGGTCTCTGCCCCCCTCCTCTTCCAATAAACCTCCTATGTGAGCTCTGTTGTCTGGTGTGATTTCTCTTCACAGTGGGTTTTTAAATTATAACATTGGTGTCATGAGATTCAGCAGGCCCTTCCAGAACTCTGAGGTGAGCTGGGACCCCGTCCACATACAACAGCCTTGTTTCTCCAACTAACAGATCACTGGGCCCCTCCATCCAACACCGGCGTGATTGGTGAGCCACCCCTTCCCCACCTCTGGCCTTTTCCCACGAGTGAGGACTCATCTCTTGCCAGGCAAGCACGGCTCTCATAGCCTGTGCCTACTTAATTAGATCCTCTCTGCATTCCTGGGACGCTAGGAATTGCAGATTCTTGGATCTTACTTCTCTGCCTCACTCATGGGAACTCC